ATCTATCATCTATCATCTATCTATCTATCTATCATCTATCTATCATCATCTATCTATCATCTATCTATCTATCATCTATCATCTAATCTATCTATCTATCATCTGTCTATCTATCATCTATCTATCATCTATCATCTATCTATATACACACATATACATATGTTTGTGTATATATATATATATATATGGGCTACATGTTGCATCACATGATGAGAGTTGGAACTACCATAATTATGAGAAACTAAAGGCTTTCATAGGAGAAAGATGAGAAACACAGGTTGTATTCTAAGCATGTTGGTGTTTAAATAAACCAAAAGAGAATTAATTTACTTTGAGCCCTTCCAGGGGTGACATTTACTCTCTATACCTTTTGTTAAGATGCAAATTGCATTAGAACAATTCATAGAAGATATTCTTGATACAGAAAATGAAGACCTAAATTGACAAGATAATGCTAGAGAAAAAGCTAAGTGATTTTTTGTTAATTGAAAACATTTTTCAATATCTAAAAAGATAGTTGTGCCCTAGCCAGTGTGCGGCTCAGTTGGGCACCATCCTGTGCACCAAAAGGTTGCAGTTTCAATTCCCAGTGAGGGCACATGCCTGGTTGCAGGCTCCATCACCAGTAAGGGGCGTGCAGGAGGCAGCCGATCTATGTTTCTCTCTAACATTGATGTTTCTCTCCCTCTCTTTCTCTCTCTCTAGAAATCAATAAAACTATTTAAAAATATAGTTCTGATGCTCATGTGTAGTTGTTCTTTTTATAAATTGGTTAAGTTACATCTTAATTAAGGCATTCCTTGAGAATGATGTTTATTTATAAGGAGTTAGTTATATTTAACGACAAAAAGAGAAAATACAAACTATGTGAAATAAAGCCTTTTTGTTTGCAACTATAAAAGCTTTGTATCCATAATTATAACTTCTTTAGTTTATGTCCATTTAGTTTAAGAAAAGGAATATGACCTCTAGGAAAAGGAAACCCATAGTGACTCTTCCCTGTCACCTTCTTTATGCATCATTTTCTCTTTTTCGATTTTAAGGGCTCCTTCTAACTCTGCTACCCAAGTTTTTCTTTATGAAAAAAGCATATAAGTGAATTTATTCTACAAACATTTGCACTATGTACCAACCACTCTTCTAAGCACTTAGAAAATACCATTGAAGAAACAGATAAAAATGTCTCCCCTCTTGGGACTTCTATCTTAGCCCACATGAGAGGATGGTCCTGCAGACTGTAGTAAATACATCTAGGTGATTATCAAGGGAAAATCCAAGAAATATTTTTAGTTGCTTTTTCCTTTTTGTGGAATTCCTCCAGGACCCCAAACCACTCGTGTTGCCCATAATTCTTTGTGAGGAGACAAATACTAAAAAATATAAATAAGTTAAATATTTGGTGATAAGATGTTATATTGAAAACCAATAAAAGCATGATGGAGAGATGGTATATAAGTGTGTAATTTAAAATTGACTGACCAGGTAGGTGAGACTTTGCTGAGAAACATCATTCATGTAGAAACCTGAATTATGTTAGACAACCGGTCATTTTAAATTTGAGTTTTTTATACTTAATTAACTGGAATGTTTTAAATAAATTTTAGAGCAGGTGGAAAACTATAATTAACCAATTAATTATTATTCTAATTTGTTAATTAACTTATTGTTGGCTATTTGTCAGACAGGCCTCTAGAATTAGCTTAATGTATTATGACTGTCCCTGGACTTCAAGGAATAGGCCATGTTAAGGAGTGAAGTGAGCTAAGGGAGCAATTCGGAAGCTATCACAACAATATAAGTGAGAAAGAAAGTAAACGAAGACATTAACATTTTTCCAAAGTGATCAGGCCTCTGGCCTTTTTGTAGTCCATTCATTGTTTCTTACTATCTTTAGGATAATGCTCCAACCTCTTTATTTTTACATTGATAACCCTTCAAAATTTGGCTTCTTGCTGGGTTCTCTAATAGGTGTGTCTGTGTTCAATAAAACTTTATTTACAAAAATAGGTTGTTGACCAAATTTTTGCAGTCAGCTGTTGGCCTACCCCTGGCCTACTTCATGGAACTTGAGCATTTTTTAGCAAATAGCTTTTTTTCTAAAATCTATCTGAGTAGTACAAGAATTGGCTGAATTTGCCTCCAATGTTTCCACATTCCAGGTAGGAAGTCAGAGGAAGAGAAAATTGGTTTAAAGAGCACTCACCATCTTTCCTCAAACAGAACCTCACCCAACACCTGCTTATATCTCATTAGCTGCTTCTCCATGCAAAGAACCTTGAGAAGTGTAGTTGTTTAAATGGATATATTTTCATTCAATAAAATTAGGGTTCTGTAACAAAGAAAGCAAGAAAGGCTGGATGTTGGATAGGCCTCTAGAAGTTTCAGTCATAGCTACCAGATTCCCATCACTCAGTGTCAGTTTCCTCATTTATCAGAAAAGGAGAATTGGTACCTGACAGAGTCATTTCCTGAAGACTGAGTGATCTGACACACAAATGCTGTTAGGATTGCACCATGCATACTGTAAACTCTTAATAAAGCTGACGTTGTTGGAATTAGCATTATTTTTATCTTTTGTGTATTTTTCTCTGTTGTATTCCCAGTGCCTAAAATGTTTCCTGTCATACTGAAGGGCTCAGTAAACATTTTTGAATGAATAAATAAACTCATTATCATCAGTTAAGATTTTTGTGTTGCAGGAAGTGGAAACTGTTTTTGGTTCATTTAATCACTTCTTGAAAAGAATAATACTCACTTCCAGAAGTGACAAGATAGCTGGAGAGTCATTCTCAGACAGGGACAAGTATCCAATTATTGTTGTAATTATTTAGGTACAACCATTTTCACTCTGTCCTTGAGTCACTCTGCTCAATGTTGAAAGCCCCATGGGGCAAAGTCTAATGTGCCAAATGTGACTGAATCATCTCTCCCTTTGGATGGAGAGAACAGGACACCTTGCTTTCTAGTCCCACAAAACTGCATGTAACTGGAGAGAAAGAAAGAAGTAAGATGAAATCAATGTGAAGAATGAAATCAGCAGGAAGAAACCAGACGGAAGACAAAAGGAAATGTCCATCACACACTTCCATTCCTTTTAGTTTGCAGTGCTTCCACCAAGTCATGGTTGCCATACAAGAGCATCCCCTGGGAGGAAAAAGAGATCTAGCAATTTGGCCTCTGTTAACACAAGCGTATCTTCATTTCTTTCCAATTAAATAAAAAACTGAGTGCAGAAACCCTGAACAGATGAGACCTACAAGAACAGTTTTCTAAGGTGAAGATGACAGGATATGACAATGAGGTTCTGGGATTGATACTGGAGAATAGTAAAGAGATGTAGGAAAAAAGGTGAAGGAGTTAAGGCTAAATAAAGATGCCGTGGCTTTAGGTAACAACATTTATATAAACTTTTTTCTAATAATGAAATTGCATAAACTCTCTAATTGTTTCTAAATACTTCATTTTCTGTAACAATCATACTGCCAGCTTGGTTGATTGCTGAGCAATTGATTATAGTCTCTGATAAAAAGTTGAAACTACATGATTTTTCACTTTGTTTGTCTTTATTGATGTAGTACTGAATATAGATCAGTGGCCACCTAGGGATTTATGTATTTATTTATTTTAATATGTTTTTATTGATTTCAGGGAAAGGGAGAGAGATAGAGACATTGGTGAGAGAGAAACATCAATCAGCTGCCTTCTTCCCACACCCCACTGGGGATTGAGCCCAGAACCCAGGCATGTGCTCTGACCCCTGATCAGGAATCAGCAGGCTACCTCTTGGTGCAAGGGAGGGTGCTAAACCAACTGAGTCACACCAGCTGGCCCCTAGGGATTTATTTCTAAGCATGACTCAAAATAAGATCATCTACTATCTTTATGCAAGTCATTCAGACCTTTGGAATTTGCTTTCATTTGGTAAATTTTATAGGGATTTTAAAAAATTATAAAATTAAAATTACACTCTTTATTTTATGGCTAGAAAAAAAATAACTTATATTATTCCCCAAAGTTGATTTGCATGATTGTGAATATTTGTGCTGCTACTGAGCACCATTCCAAACCATTGTGGAACTAGTGATTTTTCTGTGCAGGGAGCTATAAGGCTATGTAGCCTCTTTAATAACTTGGATCTAGAAATTTTTTACATTATGTTTGTTTAGATATTATAGAATTGATAAATTCAGATTGATAAAAATGACACCCTTGACAACTCTCCAAATGCAGAATTTATAAAGTTAAGCCAAAAATATGTTTTTATGAATCTAGACTCAAAAATTTTTCTTTTACATCTTGCACTCTTTATCATATTTGTTTCTATGAAGTGGCATTAGGAAATGTATGTAAATGCCATTAAAGAGTGAATGAGCAATTAAAGATTGAAATTATGCAAATAGAAAACCTTTAAAAAACATTTAGGAACTAAAAATCATTAACATTCTATAATTAATGTTCTTTGTGCAATAATGCTAATCTTTTGATCTTTCCGTTTCTCTTTTTGCAGGGCTTTAATGCGCTATTGAAACTACAAACTCACACCTACAGTAGTTTCCTGTTAACAGATCACATATTTTGAAAGCTTGTGGTATTTTATTGTGAAACTTGCCTGGTGAAAATTTTGAAGCATAGGATTCTGCCAAACATCTGAATAAAGAACTCCTCACCTGGTATGTAAGAGAACTCCTCACCGCCACCATGACAAACCAGGAAAAGTGGGCCCACCTAAGCCCCTCAGAATTTTCTCAACTTCAGAAATATGCTGAGTGTAAGTATCGTATTGATAATATGTTATTTGGCATTTATACTAAACAAGGTATGATTGATTTACAGGAACAGATTACAGGAACAGGTTCTGATTGGTATCAGGATAGATGTAGGTGTATCTTCTGTGTTTGCAAGTAGGTCAACTGGAGACTACCTTTTTTGGCATGAGAAAAAGAAAAAGGTAAATTTAAGCCAAGCATCAAATCTGGAAGAAAAAGAGCTAGGATGCTAGATGCAAAACTAAACTCGGAAACACTCCGCCTGTAGTAGAAGTAAAGCAAAGGATAAGACAGCTTGGGAGGATGGAAACTGGTGAGACTGGAACCAAGAAGGACAAGAGGAAGAGCAGAGAGACAGTAGTAAGGACAAGAAAAAATGCTGTTATATTTGAGTCAATAGGACCTGGCTCAGAGAGATCAGGGGAAGGGGAAATGTTAGATTTTTTTCTTATTTGTCAGCCTAATATTTTCAAAAAGACCGAGAGTTTGGAGTCATAGATATATTGTGGAGTTGGCTTTAGAGGTTGTTTTAAAAATAAAAAGAATTGTTAGGACCTTAGGACAATTTGTTTAGTGCGTGTATTTATAGAAGAGATAGGCCATGGTAATTTTCACTGTAGCGGGATATTTTTAAATAGTTTCTTTATAGATATACAATAAGGTTTTGTTTATAAGAAGTTTGTTTTTACCGTAGATTTTCAAGAATATGTCTGTTTCATGAAGTGAGTTTCAGCTATAGATATATATATAAATAGCAACAAGGTCAAGGTATTAAAGAGAAAACAGGAAGCAACTAATAAATAGGAGGCACTACAAGGTTTGGGAGACAAAGAGTAGAGAAAAAGTAATCCATAGAGCCTATAGTAAAACTGGTGAGAGCAAAGGGGGAAAGATGGTACTGAGAGAGTCAAATGCAAGAAATGAAAAGCGAAAAAGAACCAATATCACGTAATACTGGAAAAGGCCCAAACTGAAGCAGCTGGTGAGGCCGAAGCAGAGAGGAGGTATGGCATGCAGGAGATAAGTGTCCGGAAAAACTTGAATAATCTGAAGGAAAGGCAGAGAACATGGTTAAACACAGAAGAGGGATTTGAAATAATAAGAAATAAATGTGATGAAATAGTGAATAATAGTATACTTATGAGGTACATATTATAAGTCAGGAACATCAATAAACACTTAATGCATCTTATCTGAAAATTCCAACCTCACAGGTTTTCTGGAGCTTTCCTAATTTGAGGGCTGCAGTGCTCTGGGTATAAGAGTCCTGCTGGGTATTTTCCAGGAAGTCACAAATCCATAAGAACATGTGCATTTTTCTGGTCAATAATAATAAAATACAACTATCATATACATTTTTGACATCAAAATATGGTCCTCAGACCCAATTACTGTTTTGAGCCACTGAAATTACAATTCATTCATTTATCATATAAAGAAAATTTAGCCCAGGATGGCTAAATTCTTATCTACATTCTCATACTCAATAATTCCTAAACTGAATAAATATGATTTACCTATTACCAATTTCTATATGCTCTTTGCGTTATATCAAAAAATCAAGTAAATATTTCTGAGCATCTTCTTTAGGGATAGTATTCTTCTTGATTTTGCAGGAAATGCAAATATGAATAGATATGGACCCTTCCTTCAAGGAATTTGGTTTAATGAATGCTAAAAACAAACGGAATATTTGTTTACAATATACAGAATATTGTAACTTCCACAAACAAATTTTGGGGTTCTATAGGTTTAAGTATTCAGTTTGAGATGGGGAAAGGAAAATCCTCATGGAAGAAGTAGGATTTGAAATGAATCTTGAAGGTAAATGAAGAAAATTTGAGGGAGAGAGATGGTTGGCCACATTTAGCCATATCCACAGATCAGGGGAGTAGGTGGAGCTAGGTTGTAAAAATGACACAGAATCAAAATACACAATGCTAAACTTGAGTTAGGCAGTAAGGAGTAGATGTAGGGTTTATGGGTAGAATCAAATGAATGATGCTATGTTTCAGAAAGTTTAATTGGACAACCATGAGAATGGTATGTGGTAATGGAAAGAGACTAGAGTCAGGTCAGTGGGCTATTGGAATAGCCTAAATAATGTGGATGGATGATGAAAGATAACCAGAAAAGTGGAGATTCAGATTAAAACTAACAGGAGGACTTGGGAAATAATAAAATACAGTGTGTGAATTGAGAGCTAGAGATGGATAGGGGATTTTGGTGACATAATCCTCCAAGTAAAGAAAACAATTAATTTGATTTAGGTTTGTTGAACTTGGCTTGATTATTAAAATATATTTTCCAGTGTTTGAGTACTTACAGGAAAAAGGCCTTATAGGAAGCATTAATATGAAATAGGTAACTTATTGCCATAATAGCTAAAATATCATTTATAATGACTATTAATCAGATGTTTCAAATTCCATTTGAATTCTTAAACAGAATTTAATACTAAAGTCTTAAATATATCACAGGCTGCTACTTTTATTGGCTAGGGAATATGGAAGTAGATTTAATTATATAAGAATGCTTGATTTAGTAATCAATTTTGTAAATGCGTAAGACAAGTAATAAAAATGGTCATAAATGTAAAAGTTGCAACATATTGTGACATAGATTAATGAGCATTCAATAAGTTGGTAGTTAGTAAAAGAAGTAACATGGTAAATGTAAGGCCATTATTAGAATGGATTTTATGAGAAGATAAATTAATCAATTAACTGTGAATGAAAGCAAATAGTGCTGATTCCATGATCATTAAACTTGCTATTCTTTCTGAAATAATCAAGACAATATGAAAAGTGCTGGCTTTAATTCTCCATGACAGTGATTTTCAATTGGTGTGTCACAGCAGGCACACTGGGGTGCTGCAAGAATCTTTAAAACATGCAATATCTGATTATTTAGTCAGGGGCATTGACCTCTTTTCCTTTAGACTGTCAAATAAAAAAATGACAACAGCCAAAACAACAAAAGTTGTCTTGTGTGACTGCATCAAAATTATACCTTTTTTTGGGGTTGGATCTGCAAAAAATATATTTTTTGGCATCCCACAGAATTTTAGTAGTTTATGTGCGCCATGAGATGAAAAAAGTTGAAAAATGCTGCTCCGTGAAGTTTCCTATATACTTAAGAAGGAAAGACTATCATGATTAGAATGTTTCCTCAGGTCATAAATTTCCATTGTCGAAATACAGCTGGAAACACACTTATCATCCTGAAGATTATAGAAGTAGTATATTTTTTATGCTATTCAGTACGTGTGATCTGTTCATCAGCAGCATTTATGGATCGTATTTTTCATGTCGCAATGCAATGTGGCAAAGTGACATTCGTCCATACTCTATTATAAAAGTGGTATGTTGGATATGTTTTGTGGTTGTTAATTGTTTTGTAGCTTTTGATAAGAAATTATTTATATGTATTGGATAATTAAGCTAAAAAAAGTTATTGATTTAAGTTTTAACTGGCAACATAATAAGATTATATGTGGTATATATCAAATAAGTGTTGTATATGCTTTGGGGGGTGGGGGTGGGGCTGTCAAATTCAAGCTGAATGAGTTCATGGAACCCCTATCCCAGCAAAACCAAATTATTCCAGTTTAACCTAGAGAATATAATTTTTCTCAAGTTATCTGATTTTGGATTCTTTCTACAATTGCCACAGTATACACCATCTGGGCTGCTATAATAAAGTAACATAGGCTGGGTGACTTATAAACAACATAAAGTTATTTCTCACAGTTCTGGAGGCTGGAAGTCAGAGATCAGGATGCCAGCATCCTTGGGTCCTGATAAGGACCCTTTCTTGGGTTGCAAAATGTCAACTCTTTGTATCCTCACATGGTGTAAAGAGCGAAAGAAGAGCAGCAAGCTCTCCAGGAACTCTTAAAAGGGCACCAATCCAATTAATTCACCAGAACTTCACCCTCATGAACTCTCTAATCCCAATTTCCTCCCAAAGACCCTTCACATTGGGGATAGGGCTTTAACATATTCATTTAACATACAATTAACCTAGTCCTTCATACACTGCAACTGTAACTGATTTCTCAACTTCTAGGCTTTTCTCATGATCCATTGGGGTAAATAGAGTGATATTGGCACAGCATTTCTGGTTAGGCAGCTAACACATTAAACCAACCTGTATTCAAATCCTGGTCCTACCATTTTTAGATTTCTGACTTTGGGAAAGTTACTTAACATATCTGTGTTCCATTTTTCATACTTGTGCAATGGGGAAAACAATAAGTATGTCAGATATTGTAAGTATTAAATTGAATGAGTTAATAAATGCCAAATAATAAGGATATTGCCTGGCAAGTTGTTAATCATATAACTGTGTATTATTTTAACAGAGAGGGAGATGAATTTGTTATGTTGGCTCTTTGAACCCATTGTTGATGATTGAGTAGAAAAGTGCCACATTTTGGAGCATTGAGTCGGTGTCTTATTTTCTGTTACAACACTAGATTCTTCCCACAAGGTAGAAGCTTCTGGCGCTCTTGGCAGCCTTGGTTCTGTGTTGTCCCCACAAATGCTGAAGGCAGCTAATGTGAAGCCTGCTGTGGCTGCCTACAGCCTGCTGAGACCAGGCTCCTGTTTCGGGCTTTAGGCTGAGTCACTCCATGGGAAAGATTCCCATTGATATGTGGGAGATGAGTATAATTTTCTTCTCTACTCTTTCTATAAAGTCATCCAAACTGTGGTTATAAGATAGCTCTCACTCCCGCCATGCAGAGAATTGAGCTTATCACATTATTAGTTTGTCAGTGCTTCCCGCTGTGGTTTCACGGCACAGCGAAGGGTTAAGGAACTCCAAGTCTTTTCATGGATAACACTATTTTCTATGTGAAATCTACACGGTATTTTCAAGCAATCCATTATCTGCCCACATATTGTCACTTAGGATTAGCTTTTTATTTGCTATATAGAAAGTGTGTTGCATAGCATGTAAATTATTTTTGAAAAATACTGTGTGATTATGGAGGGAA